TCGCGGCGCGTTTCTTGCGCGCTCGGGGCGTAATCTCGTAATCGTCGACGAGTATTCGTGGAAGTTACGAGGCGAAGTGGCGAGGCGGAGGCAGGAAGAAAGAAAGAACGAAAGAAATATCCGTCGCGCGCGATTATGGCCGGTCGCAGGTTCCTGCGACAAAGGCTTTTTGACGCGCATGGCTGCTCTTCGGTCCGGACCTCGGGCTTCGCGATCGTTCTCTTCGGCGCGCACAACCGACGCGACTCAAGTCGGTCTCGTCAAATTTCTAAAAAATTTCACCACGGCTGAACGTTGGGTGTTCAAGTGGGCATCCATTCAAACATAGATCCCTGCAAACGATAAAAAATATATAAATAAAAAGCATTAGTTTACATTAAATTGCTAGATTTGATATATAGTTCTTTATATATCAAATATTTATAAGTTAAATTATCGTAAAATTTAATTTTGAAAAGTAAAAAATTCCTCTCTGTTAGCTCCTTTTTGCACGGTTCTATTTGACAATATAAAATAATAATAACATTCATGCTCGATGGAGATACTGTTAGAGCTCGTGTGAGGAAATATCAAAGATTATAAATTTAATTCTAAATTACATATGCTACAAGAGAAAAAATATTTAAGAAATAAAAAATATTTACACGATAGGTATTATAACAATATATTTGCATATATATATACTGACATAAAATATTTTTCTAGTAAGGAAATATACGTTTCTTAATATCTTAGCTTTTCATGAAAGCAAAGATTTTATTCTATTTAAATATAATTTAATTTAAAATTTTAAATATATTTAATGTCAGTTAAATATATGTTTAAAATATGTGTTATCAGTATCTACCGAATAAAAATCTTATTTTTTAAGTAATTTTTCTCTCTCAATGTAATAGTAGTTGAAATATTGGAACAATTTGTCCTTTGAAATATTTATATTTTAAAATCAAAACTGATGAATCTTTAGAATATTTTCTCTTCAAAATTAGATCATTGTAATATTGCGTTGATCTCAGAGATCTCTCCTGCGTTCTTTTGGTCTTTCTTTTCTGGATGAATAAGAAGAAAGAAAGGCTTACTATCAATATTGAGAATTATCTACAATTCACCGTGATAACAATGTTGCCTAAACCGTGTCCAGCAGCGTGAAATCACGTTTGCATTTTTTCTCTTGTCCAAAAGTCCTCGGGCGAATAATCGATAACAGGTGCGTCATGGAGTTTCTCGGCTTCGCGTTTGCGGATAAACGTCTTATCGTATCTGCGAAGGGTGCGATAGCGGATATGTCGACGCTATCGTCTCATCAACGTCGTCGCGGCGACGCGAACGAACGCTCGATCGTCAATTATCTCGAGAAACGTCCGTTTCCACGGCCGGCTCGGCAGGATAAAAAGCGGCGGATTGCGTCGCGGTTTCGCGCTAGGAATGCAGAAAATATTCCCGTGTTCGTATGGTCGTCGGGATAAGTGCGCCAGCCCGTCATAAATCAGCGATTTACGAGAGAACGAAACAACAAAAAAGCGCGAAAAAAGACCGTGCTCGAGATCGAAATGTAACTATTTGCGTAGTAACACTCGGTTTGCGGATGCCTTACCATTCGGCACACCAGATCGACAGCCGTGAAAAATTTTCGACCAGCCGCACGTGTTTCTCATGATTATGTTGATTAACCTAGAAAGTTTCTTCTTCTCAGTTATGGTCGCGAGGATTCCCGTCCCAAAAGCCGTATAATCTAGAAAGCGGGAAAGCGTTTTCAGAATTAAGATTCTTCTTTTTGGCCTGGGATTTGGGATCCCTTTGGCTAATTACGCGGCTATGTGAGGTTAGAGCGATAAATTTATACTATGCGTTATATAGAGACCATCTCTTTCTTTATACCTAGCTTTAAGAGTTTGCTAATCTCCAACGCCATTAACTACGACTAATAGTGATGATAAACTTCAACTTCAATATTTGGCTCCAGGTTTCTCTAAGAATTTTGCGCCCAACGCCATTACGCTATATAGTGGTGATAAACGCGCAATTAGAAACGGATCTCACTGAAAATTTTTCGCAACTATCGATCTATCGGTCCATCAATCTATCGATGAAATATCGGTAGGTACTTGCGGAACTGACCGTATAGATAGCGTGGTTGCTGTAGAGCGCACACACGCACCATTTTCGGCGTATTATCTATTGCGCATTTGTCTTCGATCCTTTTTCGTTGAGCAGCAGCCCCGAACACGTCGATCGACATCATTCCGTGTTTGACACGTCTCTAGTTCGTCCCAAGTGAGTCTCGCGTGCAAATAAGTATTCGGGAGTGCCGAAATAGCAATGTACGTGTCGGGACGTGTCGTAAGTACTCTATTAGTCAGTAAACTCCTTTTTCAGCATATTCAATCGATACTTGTCGCGTCGTACCGAATCGGCTGTCACTCTTGTTATTATCTTTGAGTGACACAACTAACAATATAATCGGACGTTCGTTGGAGTTAGTAGTCCAGAATTGGAAATTCGGTGACAATCAGAGGGAGAGAGAGAAAGATAAAATGACGCCAAGGATAATATGCGACGCGGAATCGCGGCCAGTAGTGTCGGTATGTTAGAGAGGTGACTCGCGAGAGCGCGTCATTGTCGTTCCGCGACACTGTTTATGTTTTGATACGCATTTTTGACGCCCGTCATGCATCGCGCGGGTATCCTCGATCCTTTTGCGTGCAGCAGCAGCCATGAACACATCGATTGACATCGCTCCATGTTTGGCACGTCTCTAATCTGTCCCAAGTGAGTCTCGCGTGCAAATAAGTATTCGGGAGTGTCGAAATAGCGATGTGCGATCGTCGGGACATGTCGTAAGTACTTTATTAGGCAGTAATCTCTCTCGGCATACTTAACCGGTGCGTCGTGCCGCGAGTCAGTGTTTCTATCACTCTCGTTATTACCTTTGACTTACACGATTAACAATATAATCGGGCGTTCGTTGGATTTATCAGTCGGAAATTCGGTGGCAATCAGAGGGAGGGAGATAAAATAATACCAAGGATATACGCGACGCGGAATCGCGGTCGGTAGTGTCGATATGTTAGCGAGAAGGGGAGGGATCTATGTATCCGCGAGAGCGCGTCCTTGTACCGCGACATTATGTTTTGGCGCGCATTTGTGGCGCCCGTCATGCATTGCGCGGGCGTCTTCGATTTTTTCTGTGAAGCAGCAGCCCTGAACACATCGATCGACATCGCTCCGTGTTTGACATGTCTCTAGTCCGTCCCAAGTGAGTCTAGCCTGCAAATAAGTATTGGGAGTGCCGAAAATAATGGTGTGCGATCGCCAGGACGTATCACAGGTACGTATTAGGAAGTAATCTTATATTCATTCGGTATTTTTCAGTGCTGTCAGTGCTTCTCGCGTCGTGTCGAGTCAGCCTCTATCACTCTCATTATTATTTTCGATTCGTTCAATTAGTGATAGAATCGGACGATGGTTGAATGTATCAATCAGTAATTAGATATTCGGTGATAATCAGAGAGAAGGATGAAAAGAGGATGAAAGGTAGAATTACGCCAGAGATATACGTGATGGCAAATTTCGGGCGACATCGTTGGTATGAGAGCAAGAGAAAGATTTTAACGTCGATGTGATATAGCTGCAAAGATTACTCTGAGTTTCGTTGTATTTTATTTTTTTTTTAACGAACTCATAACGAGAGAGTTTGCGATCATACGATATTATTGAAACCAGCTTCTATAAAGGAAAGTGAGAATTCAAATTGTTCACGATCTTGCATCGTTTTAATCTTTTTTGCCTTTGGCTTTGCTCTCACAAGTTCTACTTCTTTGTCTTCTCTTTTACCGTTCTTTTTTTTTTACCTCATCTCAATTGCAATCACTATAAAACATTTTCAGGCCATGAGGTTTGGCAGCCAGCCAGCCAGCCAGCCAGCCAGCCGACCAGTCAGCCAGCCAGTCAGCCTGTTGGACAGCGGGTGAACTCTTTTCGACAAATTTCAAGATCTCTCTCTCTCTCCCCCCCCCCTCTCTTCCTCTTCTCACCGTTCGTTAATTAATCCACCGCTTGGCCATGAAACCAGTCGGGGTCTATCGGCAGCTCTCCCCTCTCTCTCTTTCTCTCTCGAATCGCGCCTTTCGCGTTTGTCCTGGTTTCGTTGCCATTTGTCGTCGCCATTATCGTTATTGCGCTCATAATCTACGCGCGCGCGCGCTTGAAGAAAAGTATAGCCGTAAGGGCAGTCGCCGTAGATTTAACGTCAGCGGATAACGATCGTCATGCAAATTACGCGAATTCTACACCGCCCCCCTCCCACATCTCCCGCGACCGCGAGGGGCCGTGCGGGCGCAATCGCACGCGTCGGTAAGAATAGGAAAGAAACCGCCGACGCAACGGTGGAAAAAAGCGCGTCATGCGGCGGTCGATCTCGTATCTGTCAGTAGATAACATCGAATTCCAGTCACGGCTCACCCACTCTCGCTCTGGGCAAGTTCCACGCCCGTGATAAGAACGGCACGCGCCCCCGCCCTTACGACCTAAATTCGCGATGACAGCGGGTGATCAGTCTTTCTCCAGTCTCTCGTCAATCTCGAGACAATGCGTGTATCTTGATTAGGCAAATTTAATTTCTTTTCTTCTCTTACATTCTTAATGCGTAAAGATGATGGAAAACTGTGTAAACTCCGATTAAACAAGTTAACCTTTCGTCTGCGCTTCCTTGTTTTTTCGCGATTTGTTATGCAAGCTGCTTTTTTTCTGCTGGTATATTGACAGAAAAGATGTCTAAAAAATAAGAATATATTTCTTACTATAATAACATATTCACTTATACTGGTATTAAATATTTTTTCAAAAAAAGAATATACAGCTTCTTAAAACTTTAGCTTCTCATATAGAAATTGTTCCACTTAAATCGAAGAATTTAAATCTAAATAAATATGTTATTAGTACCTACCGAATAAATATTTTCTATCTTTTAGATATTTTTTCTCTCAGAGTATGAGTAAAATAAATCGGAGCAAAAATTTTCTCGTTATTTTAGGTCTCTAGATTTTCTGGTCGGAATATTGTTTAGCGCGCCTTCAGTGTTTACAATTTTTTTTCTTAATAAAATCCGTAATATACTGTTGAAATTTCGACTGTCCCCAAAATGATCCACGAAGCAAACGGAAGATTAACGTGCATTAAACAAGTGTAAGATAAAGCTATTCGAAGGCAGTCAAAGAGCGCCACTTTCTCCGCCCGTCGTTCGACGATTCACGACTGTGAAAATGATTTCCTCGTGTGGAATGGACGGAGAATCGTCCTGGAGGCTCGAAGCTTGCTCTGAGAAAGAGGGACGATCTCCGCGCGGCGATGCTAGTACGATAAAGAAATTCCCATGCGAATACAAACGAGTGTCCACTGTGTTTCTCGGATATACATTCATCGTGCTCTGGTTACGGGCCTGGCGAATAAACGCCGTCGCCACCGCCACTAACGTTTACCCATAAATCAATTTAATCGTGCGTACAGAGCGATAAGCATCGCGCGTGAGTTAATGTAATCGTCCCAGTGCCTCGTCGCGCTCGCGGTCCAGAGCCTGTAGTTTCTCCGCCTCACCTCGCAAAAACTACAATCCGGAGCGTTACTCCCCCCTCCCCTCCCCCTGGCCTCCCGGCTTCCCCTTTAATGCGAGATTTATCGTCGTTTAGCCTACGACCTGCCGCGCTCGCGAACGTGTCCGCCCGCACGTGCGCAATTTTCGCAACGTGAATAATCACTCTCCTCAAAACGCCGTCAACCTTTTATCGTTATTTATATCGACAAGGAACGACCGATGACTCGTGCGTCGCTTCCGTGTAAAGAAAGTAACTTTTATATAAGCGTGTGCTGCGCGAATTTTCGTGGATCGTATTTTTGCATATATTATTTGAGAGTGTCAAATCAAATTTCAGCGATTAGCGGTGCGCGGTAGTGAAATGGGCGCGACTGGAACGATTGAATATCGCGAAACAGGACAATAATATTGTCGTACACGTCAAACCATAACGAGACAAACAACATAACGGCTCTCTCAAGCGCGACTCGACAGGTTGGAGGTCGCGCAACCTTCAAAACAACAACAACAATACGCGTTAGTCTATGTTCGACGAACAAGCGATCATAACAGTCTTAGACGCGAGGTCGAGCGTAGCGGGAGTGACGTCGCGCGTTGTTTCCGATATTTCTGAATCCATAGTGCGTGCGTGTATATGTGTGTGCATGCAAGAGAGAGAAAGAGACAAATTACGAAGTTTTGTGTACATCATTATCGGGAACAGTTGCAGCATCCTGAAGTATGAAAGGTGAATACCGGTGGCGATTGTATCAAGATGCAAAACAGAAATAAGTCGAAAGCCCTGTATTTTTTATTTGTTGGACCGTCTTATCGTTTTAACTAATCGGAAACGATATTTCTGATTTCAGATCTGGCGGAGTTGGCAGCTGCACAGCGGTGCAACTACAGAGAAAGAGATGGAGGGAGGGAGAAAAGAGTGAATGAGAAAGAGAGAGGAAGAGAGAAAGAAGGATGCAGTCCGGGACGTTGCGGAGGTTTTCGTCGGTGGATCTGGCTGAACGTCGGCGGGCTTCAACGCGAAATGGTGAGTTTGCAACTTCTTCGACACTCTCGTAGAACGTCGTATTGAGTGCTTCCCATTTAGTGACACAAGTCGATACAAGCATCATCCTGTCCTATCTTTGTGGCTCATTGAATATGGAACAAAGATAGAATGATGCTCGTGTCACTACACGCAGAAATATACATACTGCATTCAAGTCAATGTTTCAAGTATTTTATGATTATATTTCCGTAAATCTATTATAGGTTCATTATAAGCGTCATAGCCGAGATGCATTCTAGTGAGTGTAGCATTTCAATCAAGAATATTAAATTTAAACAAAAATATTCGGTCGGCAACTTTTTCTTTCGATAAAATTTTATAATATTCTTTCGATAAAATCTTATAATATTCTTGAATTCTTCTTTGGTGTACATGACGATAAGCTTTTCTAAAATTTGTGATGAGTATATTTTAATACTGTTATTAAAAAGATATTCTTTGTTGAAGATAACTATTATAAGGAAAAAATAAAGTAATCACTTTTCTTTGCAGTAGAATGATATTTTTTATAATAGTATTTCAAAATATTTTTCTGTGTGTACATGGAAAGCATCTATTTTACAAAAAGTTTCGTGATTATATTTATACATGCATTATTCGATAGTTGTTAAATTTTAATATATATATGGAGAAAATGTTCTTTTCATATAAATTCTTTTTAATCTTTACTTATTTCAAATAAAAAAATATTTTGAAATATCATTATCAAAAATATCATTCTACTGCAAAGAAAAGTGATTACTTAATTTATTTTTTTCCTTACAATAGTTATCTTACATTGAGAAAATGTTCTTTTCATATAAATTCTTTTTAATCTTTACATGTTTCAAATAGCGTAAGCGTAAATTGCCAGTAAAATCTATTTTGCTAAAAAGCATAGAGCAAATTTTGTTAAAAATAGAAAATTTTTTAACAGTACGAGTTAGTGATAATATTTCATGGAAAAAAACGATTTGCTAATATATGGACAACTAAAAATATTAACTGTAGGAGTAAATATTCTTGCTTTCATAGCAAAGTTATTTAGTTGTGATAGCTAAAAGATTGACTAATATATATATTAGTAAATCTTTTAGCTATCACAACTAAATAACTTTGCTATGAAAGCAAGAAAATTTGCTCCTGCAGTTAATATTTTTAGTTATCGATGTATTAGCAAACATTTTTTCCGTGCTAATATTAGAATATCAAAGAGTCTTACAGAATATATTATTCTGTAGTAATTTTTCCAAGTGGTACCCATGTGGTGCACGGTAATGCGATAAAAAATATTGATACGTGTTTTGAATGATTGATTATTACGAAACAATGTAGGACAATGATATTGTAATAAAACAACGAGACAAATAACGTTGGTGTAAAAAATTCGTTATTATTCTATTGAATTCTTATAGAAAATTTCATTATTAAAAGGAAAATAGAAAATTTTCGTTAGATGTTTAAAAAATACCGAGTCGACATTGTTCATTTAATATGTAAACATTATTAATTCTCTAAAACTTGACAATTTTGTTTTTCTACTTATTTCACATAAATTTAATCAATCATCTATTTTATTCGAAAATTATTAATCTTTTGAAATTGGACGGTTTTGTTCTCTATTTTACTCAACAAACATGACGAACTTTATACACCAATTGAATATAATGTGTCGCGATTATATTGGTGATTTCGCATTAATCTCGCGAGGAAAACACAAGAGTGGTTCGATACTGTCGTTTAAAGATTATGAACGAAACGAAGAGGCGCTTTTAGTGACATATCTTTAGCCATGAAGATTCCATTGCCGCGGATGATCGCACTTAGGCAAGTAGACGGACGTTTTACCGTCGGCCCGATATTTTCTTGGCGGCAATTAAGAGCGAGTAAAATCTTAAAACGAGCGGCCAATTAGATGAAAATGGAACGGCCGTCGATTACGCAGTGCTCGGGCATGCGGAATTCCCGCGCGTCGAGATGAGCCGGTCGTGTCTTATTCGATATTCAAAGATACCTTCGACTCTCATCGACGGAACATTCTCGTTATTCGCCGATTCTTTTAACGGCCTGGTTGCCGAGATGTTCGATTCGCCGTTAGAAATCTACGCATTAGCGAAAAAGAACGATTTTCTTTAAACGCGTCTTTTGAACCGAAGAATTCCGCGTAGGTCCGACCGTTGATAATTAAAAGAGAGGCAAAGCTAAGGAAAGTCGACCAATTAGAGTTTACTAAGGGAATCAATTAATTAAAATCGTTTAAAGAAATGAAGCAATTAAAATTGTAGTCTTTCAACGTTGGTATCTTAATTCGTGAATAAGACGCCCCCCTCCCAAAAATAGAATCTTTAACGGACATCTTATATACGACCCCAAGAGAATTCTTCTGGAACCAAGAGGAAAACATTCTAAGCATAATATTTTCAAAGTTGGAGGAATTTCGACTTTCGTTTACGGTACAAGTATCGTCTTCAATATAAATTTCGTGTAGAGCGCATTTTGCTTCAAGCTAATATGTTCCTATTGATTCAAAAGGAAAAAAGTTATATCAAAGGAATAATATCTAGTAGATTTCGGATTAATATTCTTAGAATATAAAATTTTTTAAGACAGAGAGAAAAGGAATATTTATTAGAAAAGGAATTCTTTCGAATAGCACAAGAAATAGCACTTTGCAGCAAGAATTCTTTTCTGAGTGTAAAAATATTTTCTTTTTGGTTTTAGAAGAATCCTCTTTGGGATGATAAGAAGATAAGAGAATAAGAACAAGAGAATATTTTTTCAAGTGCAATTTGTGGATTATGAGAATATGTTAAGAAAATTTTTGAACGCGTCTTTTGAAACGAAGAATTTCGCGCAGTTGGATCGATAATTAACAAAACTAAAAAAAGTGAACGAATTTTCGTTTTTACAATCGCGGTTTAATCTAAAAAGATAAATAAAGTCACTTTCGAGCTCTCTTCTTCCCCTGCGAGTCGATTAAAAATTGAAATCAAATCAGGAAATTAAATTCAGGACTTAAAATTGATTGATCCTCAATGCGTGCAGGCGTCCATCAATGCTCGCCTCCGGGAGGCCGTTTATTTTATTTTTTTTCATTTTAACGTTCCCTCCAAGAAAAAGTCTATTCCAAGTCGTCGACGGAGGTTCAAGGTTCCCCGATATAATGAGCGGAGGTATGAGGCCAACCATTGAGGAAAAAGGAATCATTAAGTGGCTCATCCTGCGGAACAGGGCGCGCATGAATTATTCACGTGCTGCTCTTCCCCAATAGTTTGCTCGAGGAAAGTGAAACCTTCGGTCAAGTTCAACGACATCGGGGAGTCGCGGCCGATTGACAAACCGTCGTTCCTCGCGTTCTCTTCTCGGCTTTATTTTGATAAGAGGAGCAACGCGTCGCCCCAACGGAAAGAGCTCCAAGCCCGTTCCAACCTGTCCGTTTGTTCAAATACATCGTTCCTTCGACTTTGCTGCTCGTTCCTCTCCTTCCGAGAAGGTAATCATTCGCGTCTTGTTCGGAAACGCACGTTGACACGCTTTGAACACGTCTGGACATACTTGAAAATCTCTTTTTCTTTGTTCCTCTTATGGCACTAAAGCCTAATCTACAATATGCTCTTTGCGTTTTGTTTTTTGTCTTCTGTCTTTTTCTGACTTAAAGCTTAAGGTTTAAAGTCAGAAAGAGATAAAGAGAAAGAAGCAATGAGCATATTGTAGATCAGATTTTATAATATCAATCGCGATAGGAGTTGTCGTTTTGAAAACGGGAAAACGCTGGGGCTTAACGGTTTGAAGCGTGGGACAAGGAGAGCCCGTTTTACTTTCGTTGAAGCGTCCAGCGGGACGCGATCCGCGCGATTTTCTACTGGCCGCGCGAATTTATGTGGCTTCATAGAAGCGGCAACCAGGCGATTTATCTAAATCGCGCGACCGTGAAACTACTGCAGCTCGAGCGTTTCTTTTTAATCGCGCCGGGTTCTGCCTCGATACGGCCGACACGAAGACGCGCTACCGATCTGCGGGTTTCACGAGGTTTCGCGCGCGAATTTCGAGCGCGCCTTATCGCTCGATGCGAAAAGGGAACTTGATGAACAAATAACAGGAGCGCGTCTCCACGGCTCGTGGAAAATCTGACGCGGCGCGGATGTATTAATTGCGCGCCGTCACACTACGCGCAGTACAGATTGCACGTTTTCGCAGCGCGAGGTTAATTACTAGCCTCGTATCCGAGAGTGGCTCTGTGTGCATGTTTATATATGAATATATGTGTATATATGTGTGTGTGTAGGGGGGCCGATGGTCGTTTTGACGTTAGCTCGACGGGCTGTATCAGCTTCTTCTCGAGCAAGAAATTGCAGCGACGCGCGACTCCCACATAGGAGTTTCTCGGAATTTTTCCAGATATCGCATAGATCCTGACTGGATTACTTAAATTTGTGCCTTTGAGAAGACTCTCGGAATGAGTAAATGAGAAAAAACTATTTAGCTTCCCGCCCACTTAGATTTACGTGTTTGAAATATACACTTCTAATCTAACTCGCGTAATTTCCCAGAGCTCTTAATTTCTTGGAGAAATTAAGATCTCAAGAAATGTTCCTGTAATTTGCCACTCGAAAGTATGTAAGAAAGTAACAAAATACAATAAAAATTCAAAGGCCTATAGCAGTATTGGATATTAATCGATTGAAATTTTCTTTGACTAAGATAGTCGCTAAATTAATAATTAAAATTCATCAAGCGTTGTATGTAAATCGTATATAAATAATTTTATCACCTGATGAAATTTATTATTAATCAAACTTTGGTGTGATTAATTGTACATTAATTAATAATAAGTTTCATCAATTAATGATGGTCTATATGACGGTTGACTGATGTTGATCATTAATTTGCCGATTCTAGCCTAAGAAAATTTTAGCTGATTAATGCTAGACACTAGTCCATAATAGTCGTACGTTGGATAGATGTGCAAAGTTTATTCTTAGTTATACAGAAATAACTGGAAACGTTCTAATATCATTTTAGCACGCATGAAAAATGTTTTCTCTATGCGTAGAGCATTTTTTTTTTCCACAAGGATAAATCGAGAGAAGTGAAGTTACGAAGTTTCCATTCTCGTTCTTGTTGCGTAGTAAAAGACAGTAAGCTTTGATTATGTAAGATAAACTGTCCGTGAAACTCAAAATGGGCCAAAATGGAAAAATATGACCTAAATATTTTTTATACTTCTACATTTGTGTCAAATTAGAAAAAAAATTGGAGTGTAACTTTTGGGTAGATTGACTTGTAAGAACGTAATTGTTTGAAAAGTCGAGCAAGTTTAAAACGTCAATTTTTTTCTTTCTTCTTTTATTCATTGAAAAAAATTCAATCCATTAAAAAAATGGGTAAAAAAGATGCAACCAATAGGAAATAAAAGTTGTTTTTAGTTAATTTTGAGCGCACAATTTAAGACTTGGATCTTTTTGTTTTATGTAGAAAAATATGCGAACTACTAACTAGTAACAAAAAATCATAATTTTGTCGGTTGGATCATTCTTGCATAGTTATGACCAGTTAATACTAGCAATTAATATTGTTGTTTAACAAACATTTTTTTCCCCTATAATACTCTGTCACATCTATAGTCTATCGGAATATATTCCGATTGCAGACTATGAGATTTAGAAATGTTTCTCCGCGCGTCACGGGATCAATCGGGACCTCGTTGTAGCGACCGTTGCGTTTCTCCGCCGCGGGAACTGCGGATTCGAGAGATAGAGCTATTAATTATATCTGTCGCCGTGGATGGAATTTTTGCACGCGCAAATCTTCGCGACAAGTCTCTCGATATATATTAATAGCGTCACGGCTAGTCCCGGTTATGTAAATCGCGTCGTATTTATAGTCGCGTGTAGTAGGGTAACAACACCGACTCTATTGTAACACGCGTTCAGCGAGACTCAGCCGGTGTCGACTTTGTTAATTCGTTTGAGCGAAGCTCACACACGAGTGAACATTCCTCTCTCGGAGGGCGTTGCGCAGCCAGAGGTTTGCGCGATGAATGTGCGGCATACGAATGTATATTTCCTTTCGTAAAAAAGCACGGTATTGTTACTTTACGCGATGAAGTTACCTATCTCGCGAGTGGTCGTTATTTTGTTACATTGAGAGAACAAATATCGGAAAAATAGCAAATATTTATTTGGTGGGTACACTAATAACGTATTTACTTAAATGTAAATTTTTTTATTTATATAAAATAAATAGAATTTATATAGAAATTTATATAGATAAATTTATGTAGAAAAGTTTTCATGAAAAGCTAAGGTTTTCTTGAGGGTTTTAAGAATATTGTATATTTTCTTCTTTGAAAAATATTTTATACTAATGCAAGTAAAAATATGTTACTATATTACTTATACACAGAATAAATATTTATTAGATATTTTTCTCGCAATGTACTTGGGCGGTTACAGAGACTGTCTGTCTCTGTTATTGCGGGAGTTACGTATTTTGACGGTTTGAAGAGTCAAAGGAGGATTAAGTACCATATTGTAAATATCACGATGTGGAGCATATGAAATTAACAAATAAATAACGTAACATGTTCTCGAGCGCGTCCTCTGGAGGTCACGTGGTCCCGGGACCAACACACACGTGCGTACAAAACCGCCAAGCGGTCATAACAGTCCGCGACGCGCCGGTAAATAGACAGGGAGACGTCGCGCGTGATTCCCGAGTTCACCGAGACAATGGAATCGTTTGTAGTACGCGTTACGTTACTTCGCACGCATGATCATTGTGCACGGGTCATTTTGAGCAGTGACAGCATCCTGAAACTTTAAGGGTGACTACCATTTTTATCTTCATTAACACAAAAGAAAAATATACGAACCTCTCTATTTTTTATAGTTTGTTTCTTTACATAACTGTCTAAAAAATACGCTTTATGTTTCAGATCTGGCGAAGTTTGCGGCCACATGCTGGCTTATAATTATCGAGAGATGCAGTTCCGGTGGACGCGATTGCCGCACCGGAGGATCCGGTTCGGGCTTTGCGGGGTCCGCTAAAAGGTAGGTTTCGGATCTTACCGCGCTCTCCCATTAATCTCTTGCGATCGAAAACTGGGATATAATTGTCCAAGTAAAAATTATTGAGTTCACGCGAATTTCTTTCTTCAAAACATTAACCATCAGTATCTAATCAGCGGTGTTATATTTTTTGTTACAGAATCCTGAACCGACCCCGAGTTGCGATATTTTGGTGAGTGAAAGAAATACAAAGATTTTAGGTGACGGGTCTTATGATGATTGACGATTTTATGCGAAATCAATGCGATTTACTTAGTTTGTAGACTTCTGCATGTACACTGAGAGAAAGAGATTGATTGTTGATTCTGTTATAATTATTTTCAAATATTGACAAATTAAATTATTTTTGGCACCAGCAATATTTTTCTGTTGTTTTAAGAAGAGGTAATAATAGCAACACGCACGTAAAGATATTATCAATAACACTATAATAGCGTTAACTATAAAGACGAATTTTTCAATAATAATTTGTGCAATCACTCATAAATGCGAGATATTTTTCTCTCAGTGTAGGGTTTTGCATGAATATGTTTGTGCTGTTTACTCAAATATACTGCCCGAAACGATCTGGGGATTATTTGTTTAAATAATCGTCTTATTAAATATTTGAACTTATTACATTTAATTCATAGTATAGAATTATCTGACGGACTTTTTAATTTAATGCGATCCCCAAATTGTTTCTAGTAGTATAAAAGGCGCATAAAAATTGCGCCTCAGAATGGCGCACCAAAATTGCGCCTCAAAATGGCGCATCAAAATTGCGCCATAGAATGGCATCATAGAATTGCGCCACAGAATTGCGCTTCATAATAGCGCTTCAAAATTGCGCTACCACACGCGAATTCGCGATTACTTCATTTGCAATAAATTTAGCAATCGTTGCGAAGAGAAAAAACATGGGATTTATATATTCTGATACATTTCGTAAATCGTCTCGGAAATTTTTAATATGCCATAGATTATATTATTTTGCTCGAAACGCTGAATTCAATATGTATATTTATCGTTGCTATCGTTTTGGCACTCACGCGAAATAAGAATCTTTATTTTGCGACAGAGAACAATATTGTCCACGAAACAGAAGGTTCTCTTTTTTCTCTTTTGATGTTTTCGAATGCAGCGCGGCTCGTTACTCGGTTTGTTTACGCGATTCGCATTCACACGCGATTCGTATTTACACGCGTACGTATTGTATATTCCCGAAATACCGGTATTTGTCGTATTTTTCGTCAAATTTAATCCGTTTGAACGATCGCGGTCGCGAGTGCAGTGTGTATAGTGAAGGGCGATCTCTACATGGGACAACGACTGGATGTTACAACAAAGAGTCAGGATACTGTGATCTGGACCTGGATGGCTGGACGTCGTGGGATACCAACGCGCAATGGTGAGCGTACTATAATTTACACACTCAAAATATTATCCCGAATCGAAATTTTAATCCTACTTTTTAACATATATATGTTCTAAAAGAATCAGTGTATTCTGTAATGTACATGGAAAAATTGAAATTCTACTTGACTCTAAATGGCAGAAATTGCACAAAATGCCACTAGTAAGTTTTAACGGTCTTCTCGGTAAAACTAGTAAGTTAAATAGAATCAACGGTTGACATAGATTTCAGGGTAATAAAGAAAGCGTTGATTGGAATATTGAGGTCAAAAGTAGGATTAAAACTTCGACACGGGATATTACGTAGTACTTGCAATATTTAGATGTAAATCGCATTGATCGCGGTGAGAAAATCACCGCGCAAAAGTTGAGTATTTTTGTTATATTATATCTATTGTTTATATATTTTTATTTCTATTATATTTGCATATATTTATATTTATTATTTAGATATGTGTATGTTTATTATATCGAGAGAGATTATTTTAGGAAGATATAAGTATATCAGTGATATATGCGCTTTATAGCGTCTAATTATATAAAATATGTGTTAAAGGACAAAAGAGAGGAGAAAAAACAAATATAAAATGCTAATGATATAGTATAAGAAACGACGATAAACAAATTTATTACATACTTTTTACCAGTGTTTGACGTTAGTCGATTAAAATCTCAGTTGACTAAAATAATTGGCAAATTAATAACCAAAATTAATCAGTCCTCATGTATGTAATCACGAATAATTAAGTCGATTGATTAAATTAATAATTAATTTCATTATTCAACAAAAATACTCGTGCTTGTATATGTGGCGATTGATTAATTTTTATTATTGATTTGCCAATTATTTTAGTTAACTAAAATTTTAATTGATTGATCCCAAATATTACTTTTTAGTTGTTTTTACACAATCATCTTTTCATGGCTTGTATTGAAATTTATAGCATTTAGAAAAATTAGCAAGAGCATATAAATTTGTGCGTTGGATTGAGATACATTTTTTATTAAATTGTACTAATTAAAATAATTAGAAAAACAGCATACAATATTAGATTCATGTTTTTACACTGAAGAAAATACCAAAAGGGACTGAAATCATTGCAGCATTTTTCAATATTGTATATTGCCTTTTTAATTATTTTGATTGTGTGATACAATTTAATAAACCTCACTTCAACCCAACGCACAGCTCTTATAGGATCTTACTAATCTTTCGATTTCTCTTGATCTTAGAGCTAATTTTACGTCTTTACTTTCCACGTATCTTGTTTCTATCTGATACGTGTAATACACAAAATATAATAAATAAAACTTTTATACACAGAGTAATGCTTCTAAAATATTATAACGACAAATATTATAAACACATATTAAAATATTACGTTCTATAAAACATACAAAATATTACGTCATAATAACGTTAAAATATAACGTTTTCACAAATAAACTGATACTTTTATTGAACGCGGAACATCTTTAAACAATACGTCACCGATTAATTATCCCACGGATCGTCTCTCGAACTTCGTCGCGATTTCAAAAACGAGTTCGCACCACCACGGTAAGCGCGTGTCGTACTGCTTCAGCGATAGTATGATGCTCTTAACCGAGCATCGAAGTCTCCGCGCGGCGTATTGTCTCGACTGGCCGCGATAGTAACGTTCTATCTGAGCATCGAAGTCTCCGTGCGCGCACGGCGTGTTGCTTCGATCGACTGCGATAGTAACGTCCTACATAGAGAGAATATTATAGTTTCTTTTTGTATAAGTTCTTTTTAAGTTTATTATTTAATTTCTACACGGAAAAAAGATTTGGTTGTTAAAGTTAACTAAATATCTAGTCAAATATGAACAAATCAGAAATTCCGATTGAACACTGAGGAAAAATATGTAAAAATTTATTTGTGAGATATAATTGATTTCTGAGAAGCAAAGTTCATTTCTGTGAAATAAAGTTTATTTCCGCGAAAAAAATGAACTTTATAGTTTTTATATCTCATAAGTAAATTTTCAAGTATTTTTTTATATAGAAAACATGAGAGAAAACATATCTAAAGAAATATTTATTTGGTGAAAACATTAATAACATATCTAATCTAAATTCTTTTACTTAAGTAGAATAAATCATTGCTATCATGAAGAGTTATATTGTGATAAAAATTGTCTATAATTTATAGGATATAAAGTTTATTTCTGTGAAACAAAGTCTATTTCTGTAAAAAATGCACTTTTATTTCATAAATTTTCGAGTATTTTGTTCTTAGTCTAAAGTTTTAAGAGAATGTCTTTTTCTTGAAAAATATTTTTTATTAGTATAAGTAAATATAATAGTACCGAATAAGTATTTTTTATTTCTTAGATATTTTTTTCTCAGAATGTAATAAATTTCTTAATAACACACTTCAGTCTCATAAATATAAACAGCACGTACGAAATGAAAGGATACTCGGTTGTTGCAGAATGTAGATCTATCCCTTTTTATTATAAAATTCTTTAGTGTTGCTCATCGTTCGCGTAATGAGCTCGCTCAACTGTAGTGTAGCAGATAATTGGAATGTTTATCATTTGTCAGATTACTAAATTATTATCGCGGAATTGTACTGGTATAATTATTAGTTATTGTACAGTTATCTGCACCTGCACTGATCGAATCTGTAAGATATTCGATGATAACGGAGAAGGACTCAGATCTGGCTCAGATTAGACTCCTACTCAGATTTGACTTCGTTATCCCCACTCTCGATTGAACTCTGTCACGTGTATGTGCATCCCATTTTTTGGTCCTTTATTTAATGAGCCATAATGCCGCACGTTTATTAGCACATTATACTGCGACGAGTCGTATAACATGACAAACTCATTTAAATAACCGCGCCGGTCGATTCCGCTTTGCGTCCAGCGTATAACTTTCCCCCGGATCGGTGAGAAAAAATGACGTTTAATTTAAGCCTGTCTCGCGCATCGCCGGTCGATAAGGTTTATCATTTTTGCGGACTCGACGACGGCGTGTAATTTATTCCGCGTCGTAAATAGGCAAGGGTAATCGAGTCGAGCGAATACTACCAGTGTTCCGCTTGTGCGAATGAGAAAATCGAGAGGCAGATCTCTCTTCTTCTTGTTTTTGCTCACCAAGAATACCAATGCTTTATGATGTACACTTGTATTATGATGCACACATACACACACACACAATGGAAAATGTGCGTCAAGCTTTCCGTAAATTTATTGAAATTATCGAAACTCAAACTTTCAATCTTCGGATCGATCGATATCGCGGCGATGAACACGATACCGGCGCACAGCTGATCGCACGCTGATTATTGACATAAAATTTAAAGTATCCCGCGCGGTATACAATTTTCAGCGATTTTACCTGAATATTTTCATACTCGGAACACAACGAGAATATGTTGTCCTTATTTGGAGAAAATCGGGCCTCTGTCCTCCCATTAAAAGAGAAAAGTAATTCGCTACAAAATTAAAAGGGAAGAGAAGTCAATTTGACATTAATATCACATAGGATACAAGAAATTGGGAGCAATGGCGCGATTGCAGTATTAAAAGTAATATTGAACTTTCCTCCATAAGGCAATGGATCACAATGTATGAACGCGTCCGTTAGCTTTCACAAGCCTGCACACAAAAAAATATTACCACAGATAAATATTGCACTGTTAAGAAAAGTGATTATTCAGTTCACTTTCTTTCTTTTGAGTGATGGTTATCTTCAAAGAAATATTTTCTTCTGATAATAGTTGAAATATACTCATCAGGAATT